GGGTTAAACCACAAGCCATTTCTGTTGTCAACTTATCAAAGGGAACACCTGAGACTGACTTCTGTATTCTACACCCGCCTGGTAAACACGGGTACTATGTAAAATAAATGCTGTATTGTGTATTGTAGCGGGAGATTTTTTCACCAGTGTAGTACAAGTGTAGCTAATTCACCTCCTCTTAAAGACTGCAGTACGCCCACGCAGAACTAAACCTATTAACCACACCTCTACAAAGAGCGGAAGTACCATTACTGTTCGTAAAAATGTGCATGCGCTTGTTCAATCATGAAAGAAACTGATTACTTCTTCTGGATTCCGATTAATCGATAGATATTTGTCAAAGCAAGTCTCCCGAGACTGTGGAATTAGGACTATACAGTTAGGACTATACAGTAGTTTTTCTGCGCTAATAAGGAATAAATCCTAAGTGGTAATAAACGCGCTTATTTTAGAATAGGACTAATGTAACATATGATTTCTTTCCCAAAAGACTGACTAGCCACTGCCACTGTACAGGTCTAAGGCACGCCTAACATTGTACTGCACTGTACTTAAGTTATAACGGCAGCAAAGTTAACAGTCCTTTCACTTACTGATACGTTAAACATGGCTGCAGGAAAGTCAGACGGAATACATCACCGATTAGCTTACCTGGCAATAAGCGATACTTAAGAATCTGTACTCGACACAGCAAGTTAGGAGTTGGCAAATGACGCTCAATTTGTGTTCACTGAAACTTTCAGATAGCAAGGCTGAATTAAATGAACAGTCAAGGATTGAAACACGCATCAATTGGCCATCAATGGAAAACGTCCAAACATCTTAAACGCAGCTATCACTTTACCACTGATTTTGGCAACAACTGACCAAGAGGAGACAGGAAACGCTGAGACAAGCTCAACCAAAACTACCCATGTAGTCAATACTCACAATGCTCACAAATCAGGAAATCTCCATAGAGTCTTATTAACGTTCTCTAGCCAAGTTTATACCTCCGATATATGAGGGCGTCAAACATTCCAGTTTTCCTTCGACCCCCACCCCCCAGTCCAAACAATTTGTTGAGTTGCGATCTGTGACAGTACATAATCATTCTAACCTTACATGTTAGGTATTCCCTAATGCAGTCGAACCTCTCTTTACGGCCCGGGGAGAAGGGGGGGGGGTACTCCCTTATATGGGCTATATAGGTATGTGCGGCCCCAAAGGGTATGGTTTATCAGCCGTTTTGGTCATAAATAGGGTATGGGTTTTGCACTCTAGTCTTAAGTTGGGTATGTTTTTTAGAAGAAGCTACTTTTTCATCATTATCGATAAGACCATAAACAAAAGCCCTTCAAAAATTATGTTTAGGGCAATTGTGTCAGCCGCAACGGTCATAAATAGGGTATCGAATTTTTGGTCAGGTCATAAATAGGGTAGGGAAAATCGCAGACTTTGGTCATAAATAGGGTAAGGGTTTTGGGAAACGGGCCGCACACCTCCCCCCCCCCGCGCGCGCGCTTAACGGACACCGTCACAATTAGGACATCTCTATTTTATTACGCACTGTCCACTCTGCCCAGAGAAACCAGAATTCATACATTTCGCTACCTACATAGTACGGGCGGATACATCCAAAATACGGACATTCGGCTCTACCAATAAAGAGTTATAAAGAGGTTTGACTGGATTTGTGTCTAATTAACTTCATGGCAGACATATTTCTACACCATTCTGTTTCCGGGGGTGGGGGTGTCCTACAGAGCAGCCTCCTTACCTCAACGCGTTTAACGCTCCTCAACAGATCAATATAGCAAGTATCCGGAAATGTACAAACTGCTTGCTGAACCGCCAATAGCAGCATAGTGAAGCTGCACGTTCATGTGAACATGCTGTTAGCAGTCGTTGTTGTTATCTTTGCAATCTTTGCAACCAGGAAATCAAACATGGAAATCTTGAATTATGGAGCTTTTCCCACAAGACGACCTATTTAGTATTCCGGCTAACGAAGCGCAGTTGCTGCGCAAGAAAATGAAAAAGCGTGTTGTTTTGATATTGAAGAGATTTAATCTCGTACAAAACACCCCGTAAATTTGACCTTACTTGCGTGTTTTGGTATATAAAATTTCGGATGTAGGAAAGGAATCATTCTGATGTGGCCAGGCTATAAATAGGAATAAAGAGCATGAAACAGGCACGTGCCAGAAAACAACATTGATTGAGTTTACTCACAAACTGGACTAATTGAAGTTTATCTGGAGTGTTCTGTGGCTAAACGCATTATTATACATCCATTTTGCTTCGTTTTGTAATAAATCAACCTTTAACGTTGTTGAAATTGTCTTTTCTACACGTACATTCAAAAGCAACCTTGACCCTTGCACATGGCGTACGGTACATTTCCGGAACGTGATCTTCCTGTGTTGTCAAGTATAACAAACTGCGGTTGACCACGCGCGGCGCTCGCGGAAAAAAAAAGTTTGAAAAGCTGAGAGAGGGTATTAACAGTACTTGAAGATTGGTCAGGAAGAACCTGAACATTCTTTGCATAGAAAAAATACTTCCAAAACTAACTGAAAGATACAGCGGCCCTGTTTCGAAAAGTCATAGACAATCGCCGCGTCATCCTTTACAGTTGCCGGAGATCACCGAAATGCTGCCGAAGATTGCCGTCTTGTCGGGCTGACATCCAGCGGAAACAATCCCTTTAACAAAAAAAGTTCCACATCAAGAGTGAAATGTTCCGTAATACGTGCAAAAACAACGCAAACAACAGAAAAAAAAATACACAAGGAGCCTTGGTGATCTAATCGCGGCAAAAGGGGCAAATATATCTCAGTGTCAAAAGAATTTTTAAAAGGAAATCTTGATAACGTTAGTTCCGCCTGACGAAGGAAAGTGATGTCGATGACCACTGCATTCGAAAAGACTAAAACGATGAAGAAACGTAACTGACTGATGTTTCAACATCGAGTGTCTCTGCTAGTCCAAGTTAATGTCTACAGGCCCCTCCCTGTTGCCTTACAAGTTTGCCGTTGAGTGATTTCTTCCCATGTTTAAACCATCAGTGCCCTAGTACTTCTATAATGTTTTCTGCATTAGTTTAAGTTAACCGTCATAACACAGTGAGTCTGGAAAGTTGTTTTGTAAAGCACCTATAGGCCATTAGTTGTGGCCATGTGGGTCAAGAGAGCCAGCCCAAATTTACATATACATGCAAACAGATAAGCACTCCCGTATAAACAGTATCAACGTTTGTGTTGCTATTCTTAGAGTACCGACTCCAAAGTGCGTAACCACCCACACAACTGTGTTTAAGTGGCAGCGACATGTGTTTGTAGGTGAATAATTGGTATGACCAAGTAGTTTTATCGGCGTCCTGTTTCGTAGTTAAGATGCGCGAGCTGTACTCTCCTATGTACGCAAAATTTAGGTTCGTTTCGGAATCTTTCGTAACGAGCCCAGCTGAGACCAAAACACCTGTGATGACAACTCAACGTAAGAAAACGGATGTACAAATGCTGATCTCTGAGTGCGCCTGAGAAGCTTTATAACTTGTAACTTTATAACTTGTATATTTTCCACCAACTGTCTCGAAAACAAGTGCACTCTTCACATATTATGAGGAAAATATCATTCATAATATTTCCCACGTACCTACAACGCAAGATTTGACCCTTATGGCATGCATTAGTTGCCATGGTAGCGAACAACGACCGTTATCTATTTGATCACGGTAAGAAACTGTGGCGCTTACTTCAGGAATTCATCTTCCGAAAACGCAAATTTACAAAACAGAATTGAGAAGATAAAGTAACCACCGTTTTCTAAAGCAGAACGAATCCAAATGGCCTGTATGGAGCGCGGAAGTTGAGATATTCTAAGACATTTCATTGGTAACAATGAGCCGTATTAGGTTGCTTGATGCAAGCAAAACTTCAGTCGGAAAAGCTGGTCGTATTGTGTAGTCCAAATTTTAAACTAAAACTAGTAGGCTTTAAAGAGTAACCACTGGACAAATTGTGCATTTGTTACCCGAACAAAATTAAAAACTTAGGTTTCCAGCCAAAAAGGAAGTGAGTGGAAGTGACGTAACAAGAAACACGTCATGTGTGTTGATTGTGCACTTCATCTGTTTAGAAGTGGTAATGGAACCCAGAAAATCGCGGGTCTTTTAATCTAACGACGCATACATAAGCATAAGAATATCAAAACCTTGCGTTCTTCTTATTCCGGCTTATTTAGCTATTGTGTCCAGTGAGGACATGTTGGTATGAGCATAAGCATAAGACTATCAGCCAATCGGCGAGTACTGTATGTTTATGTCAACCATGTCCTCACTGAACAGAAGCATAACCATAAGAAGAAAGCTTATGTTGACGTTTATGTCGCGGCCGTCCCCACTAGCGCATAAGCTTGTTATGCTTAGGACATTAACTTATGTTTATACTTATGCTCGGAATCGTTTGTGGTGAGTCAAGAGGTCTCGTTGTGTTTCTTTTTGTAGTCTAAAATCGTTTAAGTCACGGTCTCGATTTTCGAACAAGGAACTCAGGGTCTCGAAGCTACACATTCGTCACCCTTTCAGTTTCTTGGTAACACTGTCAATTCCGGTGAACGCAAAATAATCACAAATCAAGACACGATGAGTTTAGTTCCGTGTAAAAACACAAAGACGCACAAGCAGCGAGTGAGATCATAAAACCTAACTCTGCTTGAAAAATCACGCAGAGCTTTCCAGAAAGGAAGTTCATATATAAAAATATAAAGCAAAAAACACTAACATACAGTAAGTAAGATACCATCCCTTCCCCCGCCCCCCTCCGCATGGGGGAAACAACGCTGCTTTCGCGTTTCGACGACATTATTCCAACACAATATTAAATCTAAAGTTAAAGGAACTACTTTTGCCTGCAATGTAAGAATTATTAACTAAAATTTACCATAGCACCGAGAGTTGTAATCCGGCTTATTATGAAGAAAACGTATTAGGAAAAAGAGTAAATTTGTGTACTCACTTACAGTAATTCTTTCACGTAATTCCTCCAGGTAGGCTTCTCAGTTTCCAGCACAAAACAGATGAGAATTCTTTGCCAAAGTCACGAGTATCCAAAACAAGTCTTCCTCGTCAAACGCCTTTCTGAGTAGTGTTACAACGCGCTGCTTCTGTGTTTACTAACATAACGAGTGTACGTGCCGCAATATATAAGATACCAAAACCGGAAATCCCGGTTCACGCAGTGCAACACGACGAGTTTCAGCCAACACCACGTTTCACAAAATATCTCAAAAGGAAAATGTTTTTGGAACGTCAGCACTATGGAGTATACGCAGCGTGAAATGCCAAAACTTGAATTAGCGAAAACCAAAAAGATCGAATACTGTTCAATCATTTGGCTAAAACAGTTGGCTAAAACTTTCAATGAGATGGCTAAATCTTTCCGACACAATGACCTATAACTAAATCTCCCAGCAAAATCTCTAACAACAGCGAATTCGAGTTTTGGATGTTTCGTATCAGCGCCAAACCGACCAATCAGTTACGCATGTGTTTCTATCCTGGGGCAGTTCAACCGGTTAAAAGTATCTAGCGAGAGCCTATTTTAATTTGCTCGCTTAGCACGAATTCTTTCAAGTTCGGTTTGAAACTTTTACCGACTATTACAAATATAGAACTGATCAATAACAAAATCTTCAGTAACAATAGCACAACTTGGCTCAAAAATAACTTACATCAGCTTCATGTTATTTTTTTACATTTTAAAAACGTGCCTGTCCTTTATAACAGATCGGTTTGCAGCCCATTGTTCTTTCTTTAATTGAGTGTTTGTTATTATCAAAGGAAAGAAAAACTCTACAGGAACAAACACGTCAGCCATTTTTGGGGGTTTTATTGGGTTTTACTTGCACACCATGAACTGGAATTGGATTAAAGCCCTAATTCACTGCTGTTTGGTGTGTATCGATTTTTGAAACTTATCTGTAATGGCACATTAACATGAAGTTTTGGTAATCCTATACAGACCAAATCAACTGAAGTGGAAAAAACTCTTGGCTCGGGCGGAAAACCGTAGATTCACACTCAGCAAATCCTGGACACGTGTGGCAACATATACGACATTCCTGAAATGAATTATGAAACATGCATGGGGCATATCTGGTCACCTTATATCACCAACAAAGAGCAAAACTGAGGTCAAACAAAACAGGTATAGTGACAATGTTCTTGGCGCTGACATCCGCTCCTGAAGTCGTTCGAAAGCGCCAGAATTTTGTTTTAAAAAAAATTAATTTTGTTTTCAAAGCTAACACTCAATTAATTGACCACTCCAGTATGTTTGCTCTTCGAGAGGATTAAAATTTCGCGCAAAGCTAGTCGAAAACTTCGTATTTACAATATCGCGGGTTAAGGTTAACTGACAAGGTTGCATAGAAGCCCAGGAGGAATCCAATACATCGGTCAAACCACAGATGTAAAGTACTAAGTAAAATAATAATTGGACTTCTAGAGCAGAAATACCTAGACCAAATAGAAGTAGAACTGACTGACAAGATTAAAACGAATAACAATAATGATCACATTAATTGGCTTGAGAACTTGATCTATAATCCAATAAGAGTCCTCTTTATTAAATTAACTAAGATGAATCTATCGTTTCAATTATTTGAAAGCTTTTTTTCATGATGTTCGCCATGTCCTGAGCCTCCACAGTCTATACCTGACTGGAAAGTTTTTCTTTCAAGAATTATAATCGCGATATCTACGAACGATAACAACAGAGGTGGCAATCTTCCAGTCTTCATTTCCTTTTCCTTCTGCCGTTTGCAAACGCGAAATAGCTAGAAACACGTTCAACACATACCCAACACACGTTCGGTATGTTAAATTATGTTTTCGGCTTTCATGCAGCGTTTAACTGTCAAAAAAAAAAAAAAAAAAACCATTCCTGCAGTTGTTTCGAGTTCAAGGACGTGACATGAAGTGTCATAGCCTCCAGAAGGCATCCTAGGAGCCCCCGTGTAAATTCTGACCCCGCGGGGCAGCCGCATGAATGATGTTACTCAGTTCAATAGCGAGGCCTCGGGAATAAATTTCCATCACGAGATTCACCGCTATTTCCGCATTTCTAGCGGAAATACAACAGATCTTCAAAAGTGCCCTAAAATCTGAACGGCTTTCCGTAAAATTTGACTTAGAACAATAAGTTGTGTAATCACGTTAATAGAGAGACATTATTGGACATGCTGTCTTACTACTATCATGCTAAATCATTGCTCAATGTCGCCGCACGATCCCAAGACACCTGGCCTACCTCCTCTGTCTAGACTTCTGTTAATAGTTAATATCCACTTCACGCCTCTTAAGTCGTTCTACAGGTGTGTTCTAGTCGATTCTAGGGTCTTCTAGAAATTATTTCGAAGCACACAAACAAATATACCACCACCAATAGTCAATAGCCGTTTTAACGGGAAAAAAGCCGACAGCATTTCATGCCGAAGTTTCAAGAACAACAAGAAATTTCTGTTCCCTAACGAGAATGTAAACACAATTGCTCTATGTTTTAAAAATAGCTGTAAAGTACTATAAATGGGAATAGAATCGACGGGTGTTCGGTACTGTACACCGCGCGCAACTCCGGGGTATTCAAGTAACTGTACGGGTGTCATGACTTCCTAGCACGTGCCACCATTCGCGAGTACGTTTAAGAAATGCCTGGCGTAGAAAGCGTTCCAAAAAATGTGACAATAATTGAGCCTCTAATAATCTCAAGATACCAGTTAGCTTACAACTAATACCACTAATTGTTAAGAGTAAGGAAGCACGTAAGCGAGATCTAGGCGTGACGTAATTCCTGCGCCTCAGCACGTCAGAGTCACGTGAGTGACAACGGAGCCTTGGATAAACAGTAAAATGTTTTAAAAACGTGCTCGTTAAACAGCGTTTTGCTTACAACTGACAATCCTTGGCGTTTCAATTGGTTTGTTGCTAAAGAGACGCCGACTTATGAAAACTTAGCAAAACGCTTCAAGCAAAGGCACGAGAAGATGATCTAGAAAAAAGGGTGTCAAGTCCGCCCTGGACAGGTCTGGCGTGAAGCGACTTTGTTTTATAACTAGGAGCCACTTCACAACGAGGGATATAGCTTTTCAGGATAAGAAAGACTCATCGGTTTAGAAAAGGGAAAATATCATCTTAACTTTCGTTTGGGCGGAGATGAAAACCAAAGCAAAAACAAATAATTGTACCACTACAATATTGAACCAAAGCAATGAACATACAGTGGAGTCCCAAATTTATCATCAACTTCTCGAATATCCCAGTTACTTGAATTTCCCGAAACAGGTTTCGTCTGCCTAAGATGTTCAAATACTCGGAAACGGACAATCGAACAAAACAATGCTGTTCAGTAAAACGAGAAAATTTCTTGTTCCAATTCTTTTATGAAACGCCATCCGAAAGCGGTAGTGAAGAAATGATACAAATGAAGTCTTGAATGACTTGAACCCGGCGGCGGGGGGAGGGGGGGTACTCCCTTATATGGGCTATATAGGTATGTGCGGCCCCGAAGGGTAGGGTTTTTCAGCCATTTTGGTCATAAATAGGGTGTCGATTTTAGCCATTTTGGTCTTAAATATAATATGGTTTTAGCACTCTAGTCTTGAATTGGGTATGTTTCTTGGAAGAAGCTCCTTTTTCATCATTGTCAATAAGACCATTGACAAAAGCACTTCGTAACTTATGTTTAGGGCAACTGTGCCAGCTACAAAAGTCATAAATAGGGTATCGAATTTTTGGCCAGCTCATAAATAGAGTAGCAAAAATCGCAGACTTTGGTCATAAATAGGGTATGGGTTTTGGGAAGTGGGCCGCACACCCCTAACCAACTTTTCCGGGAGTACTCCCCCTCCCCCGGGGGGACTTGAAGCAGCGGTTAGTCTGTAGATATGAACTGCATAAGGCTTCCTGTTCTCACCCAATCACAGTGAACGAATGAGACATAAGCAAAAGTTCAATAGAAGTCTTGGCAGATATTTTAATGTGTATGGTTTACAGTCCCTACGAAGAAGTCAAAATAACGCAAGACTCGTAAAATTACTTAGCGATACAACACAGTAAAATGTTCCATAAGATTTCAATCTATAAGCTACTTCTCAGAACTCCTGCACACGAAAACCCAGCAGGTTTTGAAGTGAATTGTGATAGTAATAGTAAACTAAACTTACAACTTTCAAGATAATTTTAAGATACAATTACACCAACTGAATTAAGAAAAAATTAAATTCTTTTTAAAAATCAAAAGTCCTTTCAATAAACTGATATTTTGCTTTCCTTTTTGCCTGGTGATAAGCTGGTATTTACTCTCAGTTTGGGGACGAGGCTTTGGGAAGTGTGCTTTCTTTTCAAGGGTGAGTGAGTTTCACCACATTAGGGATTCCCTCGTTTGTCAATATTTGACTTCCTATTGTTCGAGGGTCTGGGCACTACAACTGCGGATCGACGGCCGCGAGAAGCCATGGCGGCCATGATTTCAACTTCACCATCTGTATCGTGTTCATCTGGAGTTACTTCCACCTACAACACGATAAAACGTGTCGCTTACAAGCCTCTCCTTAGAATCAGTTGTGGATATGATACACTGAAACATCCCCCGAGCCTAAACGGTGGGGTTATTCCCATGACCTACACAGACGTTCAGAAACTATCGGATAGTCCTCGACGGTTATCGGAAGTCTTCGGATTACACAAGAAATCCCACTATTTTCTTTGAATTTGGGCCTAAACCTTCAAACTAACAAGCTCGTTTCGGCATACATGCCATCCGGAACGATATGGAATTTCTAATTTAAAAAAGAAAAAGAAATTCAGGGTTCTTAAGGGACAAAGCCTTAGTGTAGAACCAACGGCTGTATCTCAAACATCACGTGAACACGAGCCGTAAAGAACTCAGCAGTAAGAATTGACTTCAAAAGAGAACACTCCACTACCTTGTTCTCTGTGGCAGACGTAAAATATATCATCTTCATTTAGGTTTTGCTCACCTTTATTGGAGATCTATAAAATTAATATCGTTGTTATTGACGCACATAACAAGCTTCTTACCTGGCCGTCCATTTGATGTGTTGATGGCGATTCCCCGGATGTTTCACCGCCATCCACTGCACCTGACACCGAAGGACTCAAAGCCGGTTTAGAGTTTTGCAGAAAGTCAGGTAATACTGGAACCTCAGACGTCATATCTAGATGAATAAGCGCAGTGAATAAGGGCCAAACTGAAATGGAAAATCCTTCTGAAAAAGGGGGACACCATTGAATATTCAAAACTTGATATGATTTTAAGCTAACCAACACCTCGTGACCGCTGGGTTAACAAAATTGGCCGTAACAAAAGGTAAAGAGGAGTGATTTCATCAAGTATAAAACTGAAATGACACGTGTCCATGTTGTGGGTTAAATTGTTTTCAGGTTATTGTTTCCATACCAATCTCTTAATCACCTCAACGCAATTTGATTTCATTGATAGGAATTCATATCATATTGTCATTATAACAATCATATACTTGACAGTCAAATCAAAACATTCTCGCGAAAACATAGATTTTTTAGCATATACTGCATAACTAATAGAATAAAGGTGGAAGTGCACATCGAAGAAAAACTCGAGATTCGCGATTGTCAATACATTACAGTGGCGAAGTTTGTCTTGTTTAGGAAAAAACTAACTGTCAAGAAGCTAAAAACGACTGTCAACGTTTCTCGTTACAGTATCACCGCCACTGGGCAACCACATAACAGAGTTTCCTAGCATTAAAACGACACAGGTTTTCTGCTTAAAATTATTTTTTAAAGTAACTTTAGACCAAACGTCCATTTTGTGAGGCTGTTCACAACGCCCAACGTCCTTCTCTACAAAGAATCGTTTCCACGTAATACAGGTTTTACCTGGATCGCCTTCACCGAGCGACTTATCAGTCTAAAAAAAAAAAAAAACAGAAATAGTACCAAGTGCCAATACAGTCTTAACGCCCACCCCTCCCATACCACAACAAGAAGTCTTCCTTTGCATTATCTTACCAGTGATCTCCCCCCNCCCGGTGTCCTAGGTGGAGAGGTAATTCATTATTTAGTTATCGTGCCAACTCCGCTTAGCTAAATAGCTACTTTACAGTGAGGCCCACTCTTAAAATAACATCAGTGTACATTAACTAATAGACAAATAAACTTAAAATACAAACTAGATAAAATGTAAGTCCATAAAATTAAAATAATTATTTACAATAAAAGATCTAAAAATATTACATAACATTGCCAATAATATTAGTAAATTCATAAGTTAAGAATTTAATAATTGATATTATAAAAATTTATGTCGTAGATAAATTTAAATTGGATATCTTACGCGACGAATTTTTCGTAATAAAATCATTTGTACCGGCCATGGGGCGTATTGTTACTGATAGAGCGTTCCATGTCAGTTTTTGAAGCGGACAGACCTCAGACCATGCTTGGTGCTGGCCACCTTTGGTAAATAGAGCACATTTATGCTCCTCAAATTATAATTAGTTTTCGTTACTTGAAACAAGTTAGCTGCAGGAATGGGTACACTTTCCAGAACACCAAAGATACGTTAACTAACAAGTACTTTATACTAACAACTCTCTAACTAGGTGTCCCTCCTGCATATAACAGCACTGATACAAACACTCCCATAAATAATGACCACTCCTGACTCTTCCCTATTGTCAGCATCAATTCATGTATTCAAGTCACGCAAACGCGGAGCTACACTGTACAAGTTGATAGACAAGTGTGTTTGATTACTTGCCTCTCCACCAGCAGCTGAACATCCATGAGGCATCTGTTTCTCGGCTTCCTGAATGAGTTCTGAACACAAGTATGAAATCAGGCATAAGAATCGCTAGGACGTCTGCATCAGCAGTATATATATGTGTATTTATTTCCACACGAGTTGAAGGCTTAAAGGATGAACCAGAAACTATGCAACTAGTGTATATCACTTTTAAACCGAGGTGAAGGAGATATTTCCTCTGTTACTATACTAAGATTGATCATTGGAAGGTAGTGCAGCCTGATTGCCGATTTGTCAAAAAAAAAAAAACCTATCAGATTTGCTCTCATCTGTCAGAATATGTTGCAAAACATTCTTAGTCAATTACGGGAAATACCTCTCCATCGCAACTCTAGTTTGACTTTCCTACATGTAGAAGGTTGCCAAAAGACTGATAAAGCATATCACAAATGCACTACCAGATAACAGGAACTGGATTGGAGTGCTGGAATCATAGCGACAAGTTAAATTTTCAGCGATTTCACAGCTACCAGTGAATTTTTCAGATCTGCGCTATCAGTTAAAAAAATGGCTCGTTTCTCAGGTTTAAGCCTCATCCAGACCTTAAGATACCCATAAAGGGTTGAAACACGAAACAGAATTTTAATAATATTATTCAGTATGAATATTAAGGGTTTCTAATACTACTTTAAGAAATATCTGAGTCTTGTTGAAAAAACAAATACCAGGAGCTCCTGCCATGAATGTTATGTTAGCCATCTGTGCAAGTGCTCCTGTCAAACCAAACTGAGTGACGTCACCCAGGTTTTCCATTGATGAACCCTCAGAATCACTTTCCTGTTCCGCAGGCATTACACCATGCACATCCTGCTCAAAACAGCAAATTACTGGTATTACAACAACGATAATTAAAGTTAAAGTGTACTTATTGGTTGACAGACATGGCCTATGAGGGTAGCAACATGACAAACTCATGCTTGAAACTGTCAAAAATAGATGTTTGCTATTGACAGAAGAATTGACTAAAAGGTGTCTTCCTTTGTTAAAATATTAAGAATTTTGAAAGAATTTTGAAGGCTTCTTTTTAGATGCGAGAATCAAGCTTTGGTCCATTGCCACAGTTTCATTCAACAGTTTGGTCTTGGGAGAGAATATGTTTGATAAAAATGAACAAGAAGTCAAATCATGCCTATTTGAAGATGAAGTCATTAATCTGTAATCAAACTAAACGTAACTACACATACCATTGAAGATCAATTCTTTCAAATTACATTATATCATTTTGTGTCTAAAATAACTACAGTCGAGCCTCCACTAACAGCCACCTCTCTTCAACAGCCACTTATTTGGTCCTGGCAGACAGTCCATACATTCACCCATATTTCAACCTCTCTGCAACGGCACCTCTTTATAACGACAGTGGGCACTAACATGCGTCCGGAGTGCCAAAATAACCTCTCGACAATGGCCAGTTAATCACTGACACATGAATGGTGCATCCAAAACCCCATTTTTTATTGTAAAAGGTTACTAAACTTGATCCATACCAGGCGTTGTCTCGATGGTCTCTGTTTCTGTTTTACTGATCTATTTTCAACTGATTGTGCTACGTACAGTCTATATGCTAAAACAAGCAATTTTTAAGAAAAGAAACGTTGCACCCGGAAAAAAAAAACAGGTGTCCTTTTACGCCCCCACCTCCCCATAACGACCACCTCTCTACAACGGTCACTTTCCTCTGTCCCTGAGGTGGCCGTTGTGGAAAGTTTTGACTGTAAAATCCTTTGTACAAACCTTCTCCTGAAGAAGTGTTCTCAAATAATTGATCCTCTGGCTTCTTGTCATGAGTTGAGAATAATCAGAATACAGCTGATTTAACCTAAAAATAAGCAATAACAACTCTATTACTTTAATAGCTAGTATCATTTATATAATGTGATCATAAATAACACCAAATGTATGCAGCATTATAAAATTAAGGGGCACTGTTAGAGAATACTGAGCAGAATCAAAATATCCAGGTCGGCCGTTTATCTTTATCCTCTCACGGTATAAAAGCTACCTGAAATCTCAGGCAACATTAGGTGAGGCTAAGATGTACTTTGTACTACTACTAGACACTCACATATTTTGGCAGTTTGTCCCCTTATTAGTTGACTGAGACCTATTAGTTCTGATTCAACTGAAGTAAAATACAAGATTGCATGCACTGCAATGCACCTGACACAGATGCATTGCATGCATCTGTGTCAAAAGCATACATTGAATTAAACTTTTCATGAAATTGAGTTGCTGTGATAATTTTGAGGCGGTTGATGAAACAAATACTGCTACAAAAATTAGGCATGAGAACATACCACAGCAAATATTTTTTTCTTGGTGTGTGAAAAAACAGGATGATCTTGCAGGCTATGGAAACTATGGTATTACACTGAAGGGCATCTAATATATCCAAGTCAACTAATTTAAGGGGACAAATATTACTGCCAAAATATAAATGTTTCTAGAAGTTGTACACATAAAGTTACCCTAAATTTTGGCTATTTTACACCACTCATGTGCTTGTGCTAATGATACAAAAATCGATGCACAATGCAATTCTGAGGAATAATGTTACGTTATTTAAGTGCCAGTTAACTCTTTTTTTGTAAGTTGCTAAGAGTGCAAAATTTCCTCTGAAATCCTTTTGAGGAATCATGCAGAAAATTAAATAATTATTTGAATCTCTCTTAAAATTGGACTTTCTGGAAATCATACAAAATCTATGTTTAGCATGAAATGAGAAAGCAAAATTAAAATATTATAAATTATGAATAATGTCATTAAAGTCATAAGTGGACAAGCCTTTACATTTTTCCAAGTTAGTCTTACATGTATGACTGTACTTATTGCTTAATGACATTACACTGTATCTTTGGTAATACATTGTACACTGTATCTGTACAGATAACATGATTCAACTTATTCAAGTTTTTTTCAGTGTGATCAGCTCCTAGTGACTTATTAAGTTATCATCAAACATTGTTACAATGCACCTTGACATCTTTTGTTGAAGATGAGGTCTTGATTTGCTGTCAATTGATGTAAAGTTCTTTTTAGCTGCAAGTACAAAAACCAGTCACATTATAAGCCAATATTTACAATAAAGAAATAGAAAACATGTACCCTGTTTCTATCGAGTTTTAGTAGAATTCTACTAGTACACTAATGCAAATGCTGTAATCTGATTGGCTGCACCATTGAATACTATCAGCCATTAGTGTATAGTGGCTGGAGGTCGTCTAGGAAATGGCGACGTTTCTTCTAATTTTCCAAAGTTTTGGAGGAAAATTTTGATGCAAATGGCTAATTAAATTCCTGAGAAGTCTAAACGAAGGACATTTATGGTTTCTTGACATTTAAAAAAGTTGAAATTATTGAAAAAACTGATGTACGGGTGCACACAACTTCAATTTTAAATGACAATTCAATCTGAGTGATCTTTTCCAGGCAAAAAATTTCATAACATGTCAAGAAATAATAATTATTATTGGAAACCATTATTTGAAGTAAATTTTAGTAAGAATTCTACTGAAACAATCAGATTATGAGCTCTCGATTTCTATGAGGTGATAGTTGATTCGGCCTTTGGCCTCATCAAATATCACCTCATAGAAATTTCGAGCTCATAATCTAATTGTTAAATAGAAACATGATTTTTTACCAATCAGTGCACGTATTTTCTTAAGACTGTTTTCTACTCAGTGTTGTTTGTACGCTCCTCTGGAAAGGCTTCTTTGTTCTCTTTGTTATCAGATGCATATAGTGTTCCTTGGGAGAGGTTATTGTAAAAATGTTGCATATTGTAGTGCTCCCCCCATTTGTCTGTGTGAGTGTCAGAAGCGTTTGGCGACAACAATTTCCATCTCTTGACACACGCACTTTTTTGGTTAGAAATTCTCTGAAACAAACCTCTGTTTTACATACAGTATTTTCACTTCTGAATTTTGGCTCTGAAATACAGTTCAAATTTTGGAATGCAGTTTATTGTTTCATTCTAGAGGTTGATCATTTTGGTATTCTAGCTGTGTGACATGCACTAGGCAATGCTTACTCGATCTAATGAAAGCAAAATTAATGGTTGAAACACGATGTCAACAAAGAAGTGGTTAACTGTGACTGGACAGTGTACCTTTTAGGGATGAAATAAAGTCTGAGCATGTGAGTTAATTACAGTCACTCTCCCGAATGGCAAGTGGCAAGTGCTCATAAATTAAATTTCCAACACTGGGACAAGCTCCTGCCAATACTTCAATAAATATATATATGGGGACAAAGCATAACACTGACCTATATACTTACATGTAATTTCCACCTGAGTAGAAAAGCTCCCTGTGTTATCTATTAAAAGATAATGTACAGTATGTTAAGATTTAGAGAAGACTACAGAACTTACAGTAGTATGGGCTGAATTCTGGTTCCAAGTTGGTTATTTTCTCTTTGAAAGTGATGATATTTGGGTGTGGTACCTTCTTGGGTACATACACAATCCTGTAACAAAAGTAAATAATACCAAATATTAACAGCCTAAGTGAGCGATGCTACTAAAACCTGAATGCCAGTTGTGTAAGAAGGCTGAACAATACTTCACTCAAAAATTAATAACCAGAAACAAGATCACTTATAATTTATAAGCCAGTCCTTAATGCTCTTTTGGGAAAAACGTGGTAAATAATAACAAGAAGATTAAATGTTATGTGTAGTTCAAATATTCAATATGTCAGGATTGAAAGAAACAGTATAATTACAGTCAGTGTGCATCTCACTTGTTTGAAAGCCTTACTCATAAGAAGTAATGTACAACATGAGTGAAGCATAAATATTATTATGAATCTAAAATTTATTTTTCTTGCTGCCTACTTAGACAGAAGTGAGAGATGTCGTAGCCTCATGGTTAGAGCGCTCAACTCCAGAGCGAGCGGTCCAGGTTTGAGCGCTGGCCGGGGACATTGTGTTGTGTTCTTGGGCAAGACACTTAACTCTCACAGTGCCTCTCTCCACCCAGGTGTATAAGTGGGTACAAGCAAATTTAATGCTGGGGGGTAACCCTGTGATGGACTAGTATCCCATCCAGGGGAGAGTAGAAATACTCCTAGTCGCTTCATGCTACAAAAACTGGGATAAGCTCTGGCCTGACAAACCACTTGGCTCATATACAGACTTTACCTACTTAGACAGAAAGTCCAGAGCTTTGCAAACCAGAACTGTTGTTATTGATATCTAATCCTTGTATGTACACTATTATCTTAAACTATTGTTATCTGTACTCTACAACACTACTCTGAACTGCAGTTGCTATCTACTCTACATGTTCCTACAGTAAAGTGTTGTTATCTACTCTGTGTACACTACCCTGAACTGTTCCCCGATGCGCTGGTGTTCAGTTCCAAGTGTGGATATGCACTTTGTTGTACATAATATCTAGGTGGCTGATGGCTTTCCAGCTAAAAGATATTAAGTAGCTAGAACTTAGAGATCTAAACTTAAAGATTTTACCTTGGGAACAGACTTTCAACATAGTATGTATTAAATGAGACACTTTACATGTAAATTTAAACTGAATATTATTTTCTGGAATATCTATATATACATTAAGGTGGCTGAACACAGTTTTTGATACCTGTGTTTCATTCACCTTTTTCTCTAAAACCCTTGATCCCTCGGCCACCAAAAATGGCAGCAAGCAAGTTAACAACACAAACTTTGGTTTTTTGATGGTTAAGCTGACGTACGTGCCGTTGCCATGGCAACACGAATAAAAATAAACAGGCCTTAAAAAATGCTTTTGTTTATTTGTAGAAAATCTAGTCATTAGATTTTCTTTATAATTTGCCTACAACAAGCTTGTAACGATTCTCACAAGTTAACACCATTTTGCTAATAATCTAACAGAGAGATCTTTAATTATCCCTTGCTGAAGGTTTACTGGAATATCTAGAGTTTCCTTTGTTAAAGTTCAATTATTTTCAATACTCCAGTTACTTATTTCCTAAAGTGCCAAATTTTGTAAAATTCTAATGAGTGGTTCTCCAGAAATAGGCGTATTTCCGAGAGTGCAAATTTTCATTCAATTGCTGCATTTAATTGGGTTCTTTCGGTAACAAAGAAAAAGCTGAGAATTGCTGAGTTCTTTGCATCTTTACCTTTTCTAACATGTATTTGTGATAAAAGACTAAAGCCATCAATACACTGCGTTCAATTATAGAGAAAAATAACACAGATACTGCAGGTGTTGAGTAAATAAAATGATCGCTCAATTGATGGCATGTTTGTTTTTTGCAATCATTGTGTGAGCGCTGAATTGCATCAGCAAAAGCGCACGTGAAAATTGTGTTCGGCCACCTTAATTATGTTTATTTGCAATATGCATCTATGCCAGCTCTCCTAGATTACAGTGTATAATTATGGAAGTCTTCTAGATATAGACCCAGTCTCGCATAAGGGTCACCAAATTCAGAAATTGAAAAGAAAATACTAAAAGTACCTAGACTTTCATATTTACAGTGTATTGTAGATGATTTTCAGTAATGTGGGGGTCAATATTGCACATTTTATGCATTTTTGAGATTGAATCAACAGAGCTCAATTTTTTGGCTCCTGCATTTTTACATTTTTTGGTCTGCATCTTTGAATGTGTCATAATAAAACAGCACTTGTGCTACATGAAGTTTCCCTCATCTTACCACATACATTTGTAAGAATGCAAAAAACTAGCTTTACATAACTTTGGGTAGCATAGTTGTCAAGATATTTAATTTGCTCCAGGGATGATCTACGAGTAGCTATATAGCTAGACCAGGTCCTCACCAAAACTCAAAATACATATACTTTTAGGTACCTGCATGTAAATAGGTGACATAGAAACAATAGAAATTAAAATAAGCTGAACATTTTCCCATAAACTTTGGTCTCATCATATATACATACACTGTACCATGTTTTTTCTTTTGCTTATTAGATGATCAGTTTTGGTGGTGAAGTTTACCCTTTATTGATTACCAGTTTTTACAAGTGCAGTAAGGGCTCGAAAAAGTAGACAAGTAGCAAGTAACAAGTAGCAAGTAGCAAGTAGGGACAAGCAGCTCTCAAATTTTGCTTGTCCTGGGGGTCTATTCTACTCGGACAGCACTTTTTTCAAGCCCTGGCAGTGCATTCTTGTTTCTCACAAAGTGAGGCCAGAGGCGATTTTGTTGGCCTAAGAACTCACATAAGATCAAGTTGGATGTAGAGTTTACATTCAATCCATATATATTCGGTACTGAATAATACCTGATCACACAAGCCATAACCATATATGCCATATGCAAAAGCAATCTCTAGCTGGAGATCTCCAGCATACTGCAATGAAGAAAACAGTAAAACAGCCTCGAGCAGTCTGTGTTTTTGGTCACTGTATATTTATTATCTTGATAGTGTACATAACATGTCAAGATCAAATCAATAACAGCACTCTGTCTCCCTTAGAAGCTTTTACATGCAAATTGACTCTTTAACATACCTGCTTCTTTCTGTTCTGAAGCTCAAATGTCTCCATAGACCATTGTTTCTGAAAATTGAAAAGTTAACATAATACAAGTCTAATGAAAAGACTCTAATCATTTTTATCCAATTGTAGGTTATAGTCATTTGGTTCTTTCACTAACTTACTGTTAAGAGAATGCATGAGCTTAGAAGTATATGCTACAGAAATCTTTTGTTATTGTTATTGTAATTGTGATTGTGATTGTGATTGTGATTGTGACTGTGATTGTTATTGTTTTTGTTATCATTCTATTCTATGACTGAAACCAAGTAGATCACACACCTTAGCTAACTTGTGCAAGTGAAACTCAGTTTTGCCAAGCAGTTTGTGTTTTGGGATTGGCTGAAGTTTGTCAAATCCCACAACAGCAACTGTAACTTTGTTTACGGAGCTAGTCACTTTAGGAGAAATCTGAAATAAAAAAAACACTGGTCACAACAATACAAAATAAGATCCTGCTGTGTTTAAATTTACAGTTGCTTTATTCTTCAAATTGAACAGTTGGACCATGCATTATATGCACTTAATAAACCCAATATAAAAACAGAGGGACAAAACCATTTCAGACCTTAATTTTGACTTTCAAAACGTACATTTTCTTGCCTTATCCATCAAATATTATGCCAACAGTTTGAATATATGTTGGTTCTCTGTTTCTATCAAATTATAGAAGTGCCCCTTCAGCATACACTTTCTTACAGGGTGTTTTCTACATACAAAAAACACATAAACTAACCCTTAACCTCACATCCAGGGTCCAAAATTGCGCTTTCCTGGTCGCCAATGCAACTAAAAATTTTGCACTGGCGACCAGAATTTCACAACTGGTCGCCAGAGGGCGATTAACTATTTTGTGCCATGATAATTGCACAAACAATAACTTTGATTTTCAGCCAAATCGATTTTAAAAAATAAAATTCAAAGCCGCCTGCCAATTGGTCACTTCCTTTTTACCTTTCCGCTGCTTTTGAAGTATAA